GGCTGCTGCCCGCCCGCGCAGCCCGGGGCAGGATGGCCGCCGGTGCCTGCGGCCGGCGCGGGGCTGAAGCCGGTGCTGCTGCTGTCGGTGGCATCGGGGTGCATGCTGCTTCTTGTGCCGCTAAGGACAGGCACATCTCCTGCCCCGCTGTCCCCTGGCGCTGCCCTGGACGGTGGCCTCTGCGCGGCGCCTCCCCGCCTCGCCGCTCCCGCCACCGCTCCGGAGGCTAGGGGAGCCGGTTCTCATGCCCCAGCCGGCGGCCCTCCGAGGGAACGGCTCCAACAGACTCTGCCGAGCCCCTCCCAGCGGCCCCTCAGCGCCGCCAGCCGGCGCCGGGCCCTCAGCTGCCGGGCCGGGCGCGCCCAGGTAGCGGGACCGTGTTGTGACTGAAGCAGGCGATGCCTGACGCTGGGCGGGGGTGGGGGCGGCCACCGAGTGACTGCCAAGAGAGGGCGGAGGGCCACTGCTACAGCAGAGTGACAGCTGGGAGGTGCCGGCCACCCACCCGCGGTGCGGGGGCGGGGTCCGGCAGGCCGCTGCCCCTAGGGGGGAGGGTGGCAACCAATCGCAGCGAATACAGCTCTTTCCCGCGCTCCCCCTCCCCCTTTTCTTCACTCCCCCAGGATACCGTCTGTTGATGGAAAATTTTGCTGCAGGTGTCTGGAGCATTTTTAACTCAGGTAGGTGATCCCTTAATTCCGTCCTCTGATCATCACCTTTTAAAAGTAACCTCCTAACCTTCCTTATAGCCTTGTTTTCGCCTGCTCTGTAAACGGAAATCATTTCTGTTCTTCACTTTTAACAATTTTCCACTAACAAACTCCTCTTTCCCACCCTGCTGCTACCTTAGGTAAGGAATCAGGCAAATGTGGAGTAAAGGAAATCTAGATTCCTACTTATGGAAAGGCCGAAAGAATCTGCCTGGTGCCAAAGGGTATACACAGCTGCCATAATTAGTTTATCTCCAATAATGTATTTTTTGTTGCCAACTGTTCAGTGCAAATGCTGTTACCCACGCAAACGAGAGTGGTCCAGATTTTTATATTATATATTTGCCTCTTCTATTATGGTCCCACCCCGTAGTATACACATGATGCTTTCTGAGAAGATAGATGCCAATAGGCTACACAAACCCAGGTAATTACTGTAGTGCTAAGACCAATAAAGTAACAGATGTATCTTTACTGGACAATGGAATTAAAGGAATTCTGAAAAGATTATTTAAAAAGTAGGAAAGAGTAGGATGGCAAATAAAGAATGAAAACAGGATGGGAAGGAGAGGCATTTTAGCAAGAGAATCATGAGACAAAGATAAGGATATGGGAAACATTAAAAGGGCAAGAGCCTAGGAACTCTCTCCATTGCCACTTTAATGAATAATTTAAATATTTTTAAACTTCTGTTGTTTTCCAATAAGTGGATTTACATTCAGCTTTCCTTGGGTAATATAAGAAAAATAAGGATTAAAATGTATTTTCAGATACTGTGACTATGTGTTTTTCTATAAGGAATCATTCCATCTGTGAATAAGTATTATTACTATGTTACTTCAATAAAGGTAAAATTCAACATTAAACATTATTTAGAAGTAAGCTAAAATATTTAGTGTATATTCTTCTAAAATTAAGTATTATTTAAGAGGTTATTCAAAAGAAAATGCACTGGTGTCCATAGATATGTACAGTTCACCTAGGCATTCATTTCATGTCTTAATAATGATTTCTTTGGAATGGCACATGGATTTCAAATAGGAAATGAAGTAAGTTCTAAAAGTAATCTTCAATGGTTAATTTAAACAAATGGTATGCAAGTGAATTATTTTACATATATATAAACAAATTCACATTTTTCATTTTTAGAAATCTTTTTGTTTTTAATACTAATTGGTATTCATGGAGAACTTCATTCTCTCTTATACCCCCTAATACAAAAATAAGAACTAGCCAAATGTGAGTTTGCCATGCCAAAGTGATGACATCAAAAGTAAGTAACTAGACAGGCACAGTGGCCCATGCCTATAATCCCAGTAATTCAGGAGGCTGAGGCAGGAAGATCACTAATTTAAGGTCAGCCTCAGCAATTTAGTGAGGCCCTAAGCACCTTAGTGAGATGCTGTTTTAAAACAAAAAATAAAAAAGGTCTGTGGATGTGGCTCATTGGTTGAGTATCCCTGGGTTCAATTCCAGGTGCAAAAAAAACCCCCAAAAAACAAAACAAAACAAAACAAAAACCTACCTTTCATAATCTCCTGTCCTTTTTTAAAAAAAAAAATAAAAGCAATATATCTATTTTGAGTAAGCTCTTTTGCCTCTAAAATAGTTAATATTTATACATTGGGGAGCCTCAAAATGTACCATGCAAATCCAAGTTATTTCATTTAAAGACTGATAGCATTCAGTAATTATATCAATATTTTTGCCACAAGCAGGGACCATATGAAGATATTTTGTTTTCCAATTTAAACTCATAGTTCACAATGATAGTTACTAACTGAATACTTACTGTGTACCAGATACCATTCCAAGCATTAGACATACTTCATTTCATGTATAATCTTGATAGAGATTATCTCCCATCTACACATGGGGAAATTAAGGCACAGGAAATAAATTAATCTTGTTCAACATCACAAAACCAAATAAATAACAAAGCTAGGATTTTGTTATCACTCTGGATTTGCTTCAGAATTTGTACATTTAACCACTATTTATAGTACTTCTTAAAAACTAAATTACCATCCTATATTACAGGAAAACAGAAAAAAAAAAAACAAGGTTTAAATGCATGAGCTTAAGACCTGTATTACATGTTTAAAAGTGTTTAGTTGAGTTATTTTGTGAAAATAAGCACCACCTTAGCTACCCTTGACAAGAGCCAAGGGATTATAATTTGAATCAGTAAAGGGGAAACTGGCTGACATTTACTGATATCCCAGGTAGTAACTCATAATGAGCTTTCTAATACATCAGTACATTTTTCCCAAGAGTAAGGCAGAACTGGAGCAATGTAAACCCACAATCAGGAAATGACCTCAAGACACATTCTATATTGCTGCTAAGTCAGCACTTATACTTAGCAGATAGTAGATAGACCTCTATCCTAGTACAAGGTTTGAAGAACACTGAGAGGTGAGGCAAGATAAGGGGTGTGTTAGTCAGCTTTTCATTACTGTGACCAAAATACCTGATAAGAACAATTTATTTTGGTTCATTTGTTCATTCCGTGGTTAGTCAATTCCATTACTCTAGGCCTGAGATGAGTCAAAACATTATAGTAGAAGAGTGTGGTAGAAGAACACTGCTCACCTCATTGCAGCCAATAAAGCAGAGAGAGGAGCCAGGGACAAGATATATAATCCCCAAGGGGACTCCTCCAGTGACCCAATTCCTCTAGCTGTCCCACCTACCTACAGTTACCCCCTCTTAATCCATTTGAAGAATTAATCCATTTGATGGAGTAATCATTTAAATGGACAAATCCACTGATTAGGTCATATTTCTCAATCTAATCATTTCACCTCTAAACATTGCTACATCACTTTCTGTGGGGACACTTCATAATCAGTCCATAATAAGAGAGCATAAGAAAATACCTAGGATCAGAAGGTACTAAGGGAAATGAGGTCCCAAAACCAGGGTTTTTTTTTTTGTTGGTTTGGTTTAGTACTAGAGATTGAACCCATGGGTGCTTAATCACTGAGCCACATCCCCAGCCCTTTATATTTTTTATTTTGAGACAGAGTCTTACTAAGTTGCTTAGGGCCTTTTCTAAGTTGCTGAGGTTGGCTTTTGAACTTGAGATCCTCTTCTCAGTTGCTGAGATTCAAGGTGTGCACCACTGTGCTCCACTAAATTAGGTTTTAAATTAGCATCTAGGTGTTCCTTCCCAGTAGTCAGTGTTGAGTTCTAAGGGTTATAATGGATAACTAGGGTTGCCTTGTTTGTATTCCTTATTGCTGGTGAATTCTGACAAGCCTGTTGAATGCTCCATAAGGCTGCCTTAACTGTCTCTTATCTAAGATGGGAATGGCATGTGCCTTCACGCCTAAGGATAAAATTAATAAGTGAAAATTTGACAATTTTTAAATGCTAGACTGTGTAAGCAGGTAGATAACACCTGATTTTTATCTAAATGTGTGATGCATCTTTACCTTCTCTATTGGTTTGTTTCTCCTTAAGTCCCTTGGCTCACCTTAGAGGTAGTCACAGGATTGGGGAGAAAACCACAATGTTTGTCCTTGGCCACTTTTAGGGAAATTGTGAATAAAGACATTGATGCAAGTTCAGAGACCTATATAGATTCTAGTTTCTTCCACCAATTCAACTGTAAGACCATAACAAGTCAGTTAATGTTTTTCTTATAACCTCAAAAAATTGTGATTTGTGGAAAATATATGAGAGAAGAAATTTATTGTCAGACTTTAAAAAGGGAAAGTGAAAAATCACAAAATGCAATAAAAGCAAATAGTAGACTGCTAAACCTGGAAGGAAACATACTGCAGTATTGCTTATAGGAAACTGAATCTCTAAAAGTAACTCTAAAATATATATTTGTGTGTGTGTGTGTGTGTATGTACACACATAAAATTTTAGTGAGTTTCCATATTAGTATATGTGAGTTTCCATATTAGTAAAAGTATCCATACTGGCAAACTTTTAGGCAGAAATGTCTTTATATTAATCCCTAAAAAGAAACAAAATCACAAAGAGTACCGAAAATGAAATCAGCTGGTATTCAGATAGAGAATAAGGGTAGATCACAAAGAAGGATATTTTTGACTTATGTAGATGTTGATCTAAAATTTGAGGAAATAGAGTGTTAAGTCAACTTTCTGTTTATTTTGGTCTGGTTACTTGGCCCCTTGCTCTTAGGCCTGTGGCA